TAAATATTTTGTTGAAATATATTATGAAGGTTAGAATGTTATAAAAAAGAGAACAAAAGTTATTAAATAGTTTATGAAGGCAAGCAATGATTGTGCTACTGTTAGATATTCACTACGTTATTATTATAAGAAACAAAAATTTTATCTTGCAATTAAATAGTTGTAAAATTCAGCTGATAAGAATAATGTTAAGGTATTACATTTACTAGGAATATGCTATCAAAAAGAGTAGGGAACGAATATTAAAATATGGCATTAGATATTAGAGTGCATAAAAATAATGAAACAAATTTAACCTTTCGTACTGTATTTATTATTATTGTTTTACCAATTATTCATTTACTTTCAAATTACTTGTTTACATTCAAAAGTTATATTGCCGTTAAACTAAATTACTACAATAAGATAATAATAAATTGATTTTTTTTGTTCTAATTATATAACTAATCTTTCCTTTTATTTATTTAATGACTAAGAAAAAAAACTCTAAAAATAATTTTAGAATATAAATTTAGATTGTCTAATTTTTATTGAAAAACAAAAGAAATAGGAGCCTCTAATGAATCATTAAATAATCCTAATAAATCTCATTTCACCAGTGGATCATCTGCTAGATGATTAATATGTTCATTGAATTCAAATTCAAGCGTTTCATTATTTATAGTTTCCTTGCTATCTAAATGACCTTCAACATCTAACATTTCTATTCAACTTTCAATTACGTGTGACCAATATTCTGTTTCGTCTTCAACTATATCATCATCAGATATTTCTAGAAATTCACTTAGTTCAGCTGATGGGCTATTAGGAGTTGATAGGTTAATTTCATTGTCACTTACAACAGGTGAAGATTCTGTTGTTTCTTGGGTTCTATTTTCATTATCATTATAAGATTGAATTGGAGCTACGATATTAGTTAGTTTATACTGTCGTTCAGCTATTTCAATTTCTTTATATTTTTGCTTAATTAATATATTACTTCGTAATTGACTCATCGCCAGCACCTTTTCAAACTTGATCAATTTAAATTAGTAATATAAAATTAAAAGTAAATTATAAAAATCTTATATACATACTGGCAAGCGGTTTCAGCTCTTTGTATGTAAAAAACCCATAGCAGACTATAATTGTTCAACTGAAGCTGAATTAATACACATGCTGAATAGTTGTAATGCCAATCTAGCTAATTCTGGTGTTACACCTTTTGCTATATCCCAAAAATCAACAATATTGTCGTCAAATTGATTGTATGATTCTTTATTAAAAGGAAAATCTTTCCTCTGATATAGTAAAAATTCACGTAAAATACATGTTGGCATTTTTCCAAACTATACGTGATAGTAGTAATTTAACCATTGAGCGAAATACGTGTAAGAAAGATTAGAAGTGTTAGAAGAAAACATTGAAAGCCGATATTTTGAATGCAAAATAATTGATAATAGAAGTAA